TATAATGTATAGCCTGAGTTGAGAGGTGACTGCTCCAGCAGTAACAAGGACACTTTGATCTGGGCCCTGGATCTTGCCTGGTCCCTAGGCCTGGGCTGGACTTTGAGTTGGGAGGGAGCAGGCTGAACCGGGCCCTGGGCAGCAGCTGTCTCAGCCCACTGAGTGACCAAAAGGTGTAAAGGGCTTGAGTTCCCCAATAGTGGTGTGAAGAGAAGTGGGGGGGATTGGTGAGGGAAGAGAGTGGCTGGCTGAGGCCTAAGCGCTGGCAGCTTTGTTGCCGATTGCCTTTTATTCTCCTTCTAGCTCACTTACTTTCTCACTTTACACCTAGGACACAATCGGAACTGAACTTTAAAGACTGTGAATGCAGATTTCAAGTTGTCTTAACAAAACAGCCCTCTCTGATGATAACTTTCATAGAGCTGCTTTCAAAACCAGACAGAAGCCAACCAGATGCACACAGTAACCTCAGAGGTAGGCAGGAAAGTTGTTAGTCCCCATTTTATAGATTTGGAAACCAAAGCTTAGAGAATAAAGCAACTTGCCTAAGATGACTTAGGCAGCAAGTGGGGGAGTCAGCGTGATTGGACAAAACTTTTTCTCCAACTCAGTTGTCATCTTTGGGCATTATTGTATTTCCTCAGTGGAAAACATTGCTGCCCTTTTCCTGGGTGCATAAACTCTTCCCTCATTCATATAGCATTTCTCAAAAACAGAAGCCCTGCATTTCTCCTCATTCTGTCCATCTTTGCATAGAAAAATGTGCCATGCTAAGAGGATCCCTGGACGTGGCCTGTGGAAGTGTAGGTGTAGATATTGTCATTGACCCCCGAGACAATCCGCTGCTGCTCGGCTATTCCTTCTTTGTCACTCCCTCTGGGAGACCTGTGGATGTGGCCCTGAGGCCTGATTTGACTCTGGAGCTTTCTAGTATGTTGTCTCCCCCAACTCCTAAGGGGATCAGTTGGGCTTCTCCCCAGGGAGAGAGTCTGGGGTTAAATCTCAGTGGAATCCAGCTTGTGCCAGCTGAGTGCCGTCCCTGACCTGTCCTGGCATATCACCCTAGCCTTGGCCAGCACATGGCCTGCAGAACATAGTGGTTGAAACTGCTGGAATCTGCACATCTGGACACAGAGGCAGGACCAGGGGCCACAGACATTCCTCCATCACTCGCCTCAGCCTGCCCAGTGTCACTCTTCCCGCCAGGCACATAAGGCAATCCTCAGTCTGGGCTGCCTGGGCCCCAGCCCCAGGTGGATTGACTCTCCTGGGCGTAGGTGGTCACTCCTGGCCCCGGCCTGGGCAGGCTGGGATGGGCGGGAGGGACAAAGCAAAGCACCTTAGCTCAGCCCTTAATCACCGAGACCTACGTCCTTGACTGCTCCATCTGGGAGGGAGCCTCAGGGCCTCTCAGCCTTCCATGAGGTGGTGTATTGTCAGGAGCCAATGTCCCTGACATCCTGTTGGGTAATAACCCATTACATTCTCCAGATTCCTGCCAGGGAGGGCTGCTGGGGATTCATTCGGAGCCCTGCTTCTAACTCCTTGGCTCCTTTGTCTTTTGGAGCTATTGTGGCCTCTTTGAAACTTCTGCCTCTTAATCTCACTTCCTTGAGCCATCTGGCTCCAATTCTGACAGAGATACAGATGCAGCCACTCTCCAGACCCAGAAGAGAACACTAGCTGAGTCTCTTTCTCCCATTTTCTCTTTTTCCTTGGGACCCTTCAGTCAGTGTGGGCAAGGAACTCTCTGTTGAATGCTTGGTACAATGTGTGGTATTTCATTTAATGTTCTCAGTAGCTATTAGAAGTGGATTCTATTATTCTCATTTTACAGAGGAGAATACTGAGTCATAGAGAGGTTAAACAACTTGCCCAAAGTCAGAGAGCTAGTGACCGGCTAGTCAGAGAGCTAGTGACTAACCAGGATTGGAACTCAGACTTGTAACTCCACTAGACCAGAAGGGGCAGAAAAAAGTCTGGGGGCCTGGAGTTGGTTCCTTTGAGTCTAAGCCCTTTGTTTATCTGGCATCTGAAGGAAGGTGCCATAATGCAGTGGAAAGAGCGCTGGACGTGGAATTAAAAGATCAGGGTCGTAGTCTCAGTTGTGACACTTAACTCTGTGACTTGGTAAAGTCCCTTGGGCCCTTTCCAGTCCATACAGTAGCTTTTTAAAAAAATACTGATTTGGAGAGTGTCACCACAGATCAATTAAACGGGCCTCCGGAGACGGGGCCCCGGGGGATTGGTATTTTTACAAAGCTTCCTAGCTGACTCTAACGTGCATCGAAGGGTGAAAAGCCCTGAGGTAGGTGATTTATGCCAGCGCTTCTCAAACTTTAATGTGCATGCAGATCATCTGAGGACCTAGTTAAATGTAGGTTCTGATTAAGTAGGTCTGGGATTCTGCCTTTCTAACAAGCTCCCAGGTGATGCCAGTGCTGCTGCTGGTCCAGGGATCATGCTTTGAATAGCAGGGGCTAGAGGCCTCTACATAGGAATGAAAAAACTTGGCGCCCACCTGAGTGAGCTGGTCCCCTTTCCGCCAACCCTGGCCAGGGCCGCTGCCGAGCATTAGGGGAGTGGGCAGCCTGCCCCTCTCCCACGGGACCTGTGACTCAGGCAGGAGGCACAGATGTGTAAGATCAGGACTTCATCACTGCACTCTTCCGCCACCTCCAGGCTCAGGAAGGGCAGTCAGATTCCTCTCTCCTCCCCCTCCTCCTCCTTGTTCTGCCTCTAGCCACGAGTGACCGAGGGCTGCAGTGGTCTTCAAGGGTGTGTTCTTGACATGCAGACCTGTTCCTGGGGACTGGCTCCTCTGCCTTGGGTGGCCATTCTAGACCTGTGGCCCTTTAGAGGTCACTGTCTCCTTCTGTGTCTGCCTTTCTGGAAACTCGGACCTGGTCCTTCCTTTGGCACCTCCCCTTTGTCCTAATGACAGGAAAGCAGAGCTGGTTGCCTGGAGGGGCTCTGAGGACAGGGATGGGCCTTTTCACGAGGGCGTGGTAGGAGCAGGAGACAGGGAAGTGGCTGTGGCAGCCGGCTCAACTGTCCTAGCAGCAAAACCATGTCCCTCAAATGCTGCCTGGGCTGGTGTGAAGTCCCTTTGGGCTACTTTTACCACATCCGGAGATCATCACTGGCCTAGAGACCTGGATCATTTCCTGGGCTTGCATTGCCCCCTGCCAGAGGGGCTGAGGTATTGCTAGCTGGGCTCTGCGGGAACAAACACTTTCCAGTACCTCTCAGAGGTCCTGGTGATTCCTAGATTTCTATCGTAGGTTGGAAGGTTGTAGTAACATAAAACACACACATGTGCACACAGATGCAGGTGCAGGTGCGTGCACAGACCGAGGGGCCTGTGGGGGAGTGTGCACAGGTTCATGGTCCCATGCTGATCTATGTGGATCATGGACATGAGCAAACTTGGCTACAGTTACATGCAGAGACAGATGCTGGGACAGCAGCGACCAACGCACATGCTTTCAGAAATGCACAAGTGTTCATCCCCGCCCCACCCGTTTGCCCCCAAAGCCCTCAGGGGCTCCAGAAGCTTCAGAGCCTTCTCTTCTCCCCATCGAATCCCCACTAGTGTGCGACCCTTGAGGAGCCTGTTATTTCTTCTGACCGACTTCCACCTTCCCGCACTGTTCCCTCCCTTGTCTACCCACCTAGCATCTCTGAAATACCTTTTTGTCCTTTAACTTATGATTCCTGGCTACCAGAATCTCATCTTGTATTTCCTTGTGGGAGAACACTGGGGAGAGAGCTCTTCCTGTCTTGGAGAACGCCCCCCACCCCCAGTCTCCTTGGAGTCTCCTGGTCACAGGCACTAAGGAAGTAGAAGAAATGTTGGGGGCAGGACTCCATGGGCAGAGAAGCTCTGCTGAGCCAGCAGCCTCTCTGTGCCCCCAACCACAATGCCAGGTCCCATGTTCCCAGCCCCACTGCTTCCTGGTACCACCTGTGTAGGGAACTGGCAGTCCCAGGGTTCTGCTGCAGGTACTCAGCCTACCATGGCCAGGAGGACCTCCTTTGTGGCTTCAGTCCAGCTGCAAGTCTCCACTGAGGCTGGCAGGGGTGCCCCACCCTGTGCCAGGCACTCTCAGAGCAGACGTAGGAGGCTAACCCAGCCATTGCCCTTCAAGACTCCCATAGGCCAGCACTGTCAGCTTGGCAAGCAGCATTGAGTTGTGCCACAAAGAGGCCAAGCCACGGGAGAGTGCCGGAACAGTCCTGGGAGGCCCCGTGGGGAGGGAGGGCTGGGACTTGGTGAATGGGGGGGGAGGGAGTGCACTGGGGAAGCTGCCATGTTAGAAGGGGTCGGAACCCCGAGCAGGAGTCAGACTGAGCTTGGACTCCGGCCCCTGCACTCTACTTTGTCAAGTGCGAGACTTGTAGACGAGCCCTTCCTTTCTGAGCCTGTTTGGAGATATGTAAAATGGGCATATTAAAATCTGCGCAGCTTATGGTGTGTGTTAAATGAGATTTGCTTATCAGAGTGCTGGGGAATGTTAGGTATGATGATAGGAAAGAGAATAATAGCTGTTGAACATTGCGTATCCCTAGCTGTACTAGGACGGTCTACTTGGGTCATGGAAGGGGGTAGCTCCCCGGGGGTGGTGGGAGGTGAAGACACAGCAGTGGTTTCTTCCCCTGGTAGTATTCCTTGACCCCAGATGTTCCTGGGAGTTGCTGCTGCTGGTGGTCCTGTTCTTGGGCAGGGGTGGGAGAGTGGGAGGGGGATTGGGACAGGTAATGAAGCATAAGAGAGGTGTCCCAGCACATCCTGGGAGTAGGGCTTGGGGAGCAGAGGGGAAATCCTAGCTGTGACATGGAGTGAATGTGCCAGCCTGTTTGTGCTTCTGTTGTCATTTCTAGGTCACCAGAGCTGTAGGTACCTCCCTACTGGAGGTGCAGGGGCGCACACCAGGGCGGCTTGGCGCCAGCACCCCCTAATCTCCTTTCTCTGTCTCTCTCCCCCTCATCTGTTTTAGAAGCTGAGGCCAAAAACGCATGCAGGTGGCTCCGAGCGACAGGATTCCCTCAGTATGCTCAGCTTTTTGAAGGTAAGGCCACTCAGTGGCTCCCCCTCCCCACCTCCAAACTTGCCTTCTCCCTCCATTTTTCAGCTGGAAAATGGGGTCCCTCAGATCTTTTCTTCAACCACACAAAAAGCTGCATACCCTGGCCCTGCTCCCGTAGTCACAACCTCTCTCCTACACCATCCTGTCCTATCTCCTGCATGCTCATCAGCTCTCACAAGCTCTGCAGTCACCCGTGTGTTAAAGTATCTTGTCTCAAGCCAGGCCGCTGCTTTGTACCACCACATCTGCTTTGTACTGTTTCTGAGAACCCTATTTACATAGATGCAACATGGAGGGTGCACCCTGGCAGCCCTGCTTTCACCTTCCCTCCCCATGGCCTTATTTCTTTGCTTTCCTTCATTTCTCTGTTTTTCTCTAGAGTTGTTCATACTTGCTGTTTTCAGTTCCCCTCTTCTTCCCACACCCCCACTGTACCCTGGCTTCATCCCTACCTTGCCAACAAAACAGCCCTTGTCAAGCTCACCAGAGATCTCCAACGTGGTCAAATTCAGCGGTCACTTCTCAGTCCTGACTTAGTCTCTCAATAGCATTCAGCACAGTTGGCCACTCACTTCAGCTCCTAGAATGTCCTCTTCTCCCGGCTGTCTCTCTGGCTGCCGCTCTCAGTCTCCTTAGCTGACTTGGCTTCCTCTAACTGCTCCTAGTTGTTAGGGTGTCCCAGGGCTCCATCCTGGCCCCTCTTCTCGCTCGACATCTCTCTCCCAGGAGATCCTTGTCCAAGTACCATATATATTCTGATGACTCCCCAATGCCTCTCTGTCCAGACCTCAGTCCCAAGCTCCAGATTCATCTCTTCAACTCCGAATTCAGTATCTCTGCTTAGCTGTCTGACAGATGTCTCAGATGTCACCACCTGATGGCACCCCATATCCAGGCATCATCCTCCGTTCCTCTTTTCCTTCGTCCGCATATCTAACCCTCCAGCAAGTCCCTTCTCCCTCCAGAATATATATATATATATATATATATATATATATATATATATTTTTTTTTTTTTTTTTTTTTTTTTTTTTTTTTTGCGGTACGCGGGCCTCTCACTGTTGTGGCCTCTCCCGTTGCGGAGCACAGGCTCCGGACGCGCAGGCTCAGCGGCCATGGCTCACAGGCCCAGCCGCTCCACGGCATGTGGGATCTTCCCGGACCGGGGCACGAACCCGCGTCCCCCGCATCGGCAGGCGGACTCTCAACCACTGCACCACCAGGGAAGCCCCAGAATATATCTTGAATCCATCCACTTCCTACCACCTTCACTGCCACATAGGTGTGACCCGCTCGCCTGGCCTAGTGCTGCAGCCTCCTTTCTGTGCTCCGTCCTCTACTCTGAATGCACAGCAGCTGGAGGGACCCTGGAAGTGCAGTCCTGACCACATTACTCGGTTACTCTGCTCTGTGTTACTCCTCCGCTGGCTTCATAGCACACCCAGAATGAAGTGAGTGTCAGCACTTTGTTCCCGCCAACGAGACTGCATCACCCAGCTTCCACATACTTCTCTCTGCTTTGCTCACTACTCTCTGGGCTGCTTTCTACCACTTGCTCACACCAGGCTCTAGCCCTCCTTGGAGCCTTAGTTTTGGTCCTGCCTGGGACTTTCTCCCAGGCTCTTTGCACGGCTGACCCCTTCTCGCTCTTCAGGGCTCAGCTCAGAAGTCACCACCTTAGCAAGGCCTCTCTTTACCCCGTCACCCTGGCTCATGTCTTTGCTAGCATTTATAACTGCATAGTTTGTTTCTCTCACATATTGTTCACTGTCTGTTGCCCCTGTGACAATATAAACTCCATGTAGGCTTGGATCAGTCTAGTCTCATTCACTGTTGTGTCCCCAGTGCCTGGCACAAAGTCGATGCTCAATTAATAATAGTAAATGAGTCCATGGGCTTGTTTTACCAGTAAGGCAGAGAGGTGTGGGATTTGGGGATGCTATTTCCTCTTCCCCCACTCCTTCCTCTTTCCCAGACCCAAGGGAGTGGGTGCCCTTGCTCTGAGCGGTAGTGGAAGCGAGGTGTTGTTTGGCTGCACATGCACACTGTCCTTGCTCTCTCCCTGGTCTCCCCGGTTCACCTTGGGTCAGGGAAGAGGTTCCCTGTCTGAGCAGCCCAAGATGCAGAGGGGACTGGAGGAGCCCACATGGGCTCTGGGCAGCCACTCAGGGCCTCGAGCCTGCCGTCCCCCATGGACCTGCCAAAACTGACTGATGGGTCCTCTTGTCCAGCTTGGCCCTCCTATCCTTTCCTTGACCTTCCCCCAACGGCCAACCATGAGCTCCCTGGGCCCCTTCTTCGCTGCAGCCTTTCTCCTGCCTGCCTGCCTCCCCGCTTCCTGGGCCCCCTTCTTCTCGCTCAAGGGTCGCTGGCACTGAGTTTCTAACCTGCCACCCTCGACTCATCTTGGCTTTTCTCTGGCATACAGAAGGTTCGTTTCCTGTGGATATTGGCTCTGTGAAGAAGGACCACGGTTTTCTGGACGAGGACTCTTTGGGGGCCTTGTGCAGGTAGGGGTGCTAAGGGCCAGGCCTGGGAGGTCAGGGGCCTGGCTTGGGGCTTCCTCATGGGAAAAAGCAATCCTTGTCCCCTCTGACAGAGGAGGAGCCTGCCTATTAACAAAGGTCATCTGGTGCAGTCACGCTGTTCACTCTGTCGACTGTGTCTGTGACGTCCTCACCCACCCAGGCACTAGAAAGCCAAGGTCTAGCCTTGATTCTTTCTTCCCTTCAGTTAGAGCCTCCGAACATTCCTCTGATTTGTCCCCTCTCTACTTGTTTGAGGCCAAACCACGACTTCTTGGATTCATCCTCCTAACTGGCCTTCGGGCCTTCCCGCTCTGCATTCCCCTCCTTGCTGTGATCCAACGTCCCTATAGCCACCAGAGTCAGCTTCCCAGTGGGTACTCGTATGCTTCAAATGTCTCGCTGTCTGCAGGGAGAAGTCCAGAGCTTTTTCAGCATGACACCTGAGGCCTTTTGCAACTTGGCTTTGACTGACCTTATCAGCCTCAGTCCTCCCCTCACACACACACTGGTCTGTTTACTGACCGTTTCCCTCTCTACATTGTCACAGGCTCTTATCGAAGCCTGGTATATGAGTCCCTGTTTCTCTCTCCCTCTGAATCCTATTTCTGTTCTCCAGCAAGTCTTCCCTGACTGCATTCCCCTGCCTTCATGGAAGTTCCTTGTCCCACCCCCTGTGTGCCTGCTGTGCCTTCTGTCTACTCTGTTTTTGAACATGTCCCATCTCTGTAGTGGGTTTTCCCACATCTATATGTTCCCAGAGGGCAGAGCCCATAATCTCCACAGCATCATGTCTGGCACTGAAACCTTCATGAACATGGGGACTTGGGAGAAGTTTTGATGTCTTGGGCACGCAAAGCAGTGGGTGGCATCTTGGGAGTGTCTTGGCAGGCTATGCCCTGCAGGCTCTGGGGCTTGGGACCCTTGAGTGAACCCTGCTTTGTTTCCTTGCAGGAGGCTGATGACCTTGAACAGTTGTGCCTCGATGAAACTGGAGGTTCATTTTCAATGCAAGCAGGTGAGTTAGGACAAGAGTAGGCTCTGTGGTCTTGTGGGGAACCCAGGTCAAAGAAAAACCGCTTATGAAACCAGCTCCAGTGTCCTGTGAGTCTGGGCTGTCTGGAGCAGTGCCTTGCTCCAGCCTGGGAGTGGGGTGTAGGGGGCTGTATGAGGCTGTTGGGTTTTGGTGAGCCTGGTCTCAAAGTTGGGGTGTGAGAACAAGTACCTTGGCCTGCAGCCTTACCCACCCCCTTCAGCCCACCCCTACCTCCTGGACTTACTAATAACCTGACCTAGTGATGGCCGTCCCTCAGGGAAATCCATCTGCCTACACTGCTCTGTGATGGCAAAAATTCCTTGACTAGGGGGCAGAGACAGAATAATGTGATGGAAAATCATGGCCTGTATGGTCTTAGAAGTCAGGATCCCCAACCTCACCCCACAGGGTCTTACCCCACTGAGCCTCATTTTCTCCATCTCTGCAGTGAATTGGGGGTGGCATTAATAGTCTCCAAAGGCCTTTCTGACTCCGCCAATCTGCGATTGTAGAAACGGAGAGGGCTCTTGGTCTGCATGTAGCCCTGGAATGTGGGCCGGATGAACCCATCCTTCCCGGGGTCAGGCTTTGTGGCTTTTCTCTGGAGCTTTTCCTACCAGAGTCCTGCCATCTCCAAGTTGCCAGAGCACTGGCCCGGGAAGCAGGAGACACCTGGCGGCTGGTCCCAGCTTTGCACTGACTTTTCAGTGACCTTGGACAAGCCTCTTCCCGTCTCTGGTCCTCAGTTTCCCCACTTTGCAAATTAGAAAACTAGAAAATCTAAAATATCCTTTCTAGCTCTGCCATTCTGGGATTCTAATCTAAGAGTATAGGCTAGAGACTCACTGGGAGGCTGCTGAGAACAGGAGGTCAAGATGCTTGGATTCTAGCCCTGGCCCTGTCACCGACTTAGTGCAGACATTGTATGACCTTGGGCAAGTGGCTTCTCATTTGTTTGGGTTTCCCTAGCTATAAAATGGGGAAGAATTTGATTGATCAGATGACCACTACCCTCCATCTGGGCTTCCTCCATGACTCCTAGCTTCTTCTGGCAATCCCAGAGCCAGTTCCCCCCTCCTAGGACGTGTTCTCAGCCAGAGAGCAGGGCCCTTTGTCCCAAAGTCCCCCAAGAGTTTGGAGGCAGAGAGTGGAGCCCAAGCAAGGGCTCGTGGGCTGGACACCTCTGACCCCACCCTGTGGCGCCCTTCCCAGAATGAAGACTCAGAGGAGGAAGAGCATTGTACCATCAACAACCACTGGGCCTTCCAGAGAGAAAGTAAGCGCTGGTCTCATGTGGGCTCCTCTGACCTGCTGGCCCCACCGAGCCCTGGCCTGCCAGTGACCTCCAGCTGTGAGAGCGTCCTCACTGAGCTTAGTGCCACCTCCCTGCCAGCCATCACTGTGAGCCTACCGCCCGAGCCAGTGGGCCTGCCCTTGCTAGGCTGTGCTCCCAGCCCAAGTGGCCGGCCCTTCCTCAGCCCCACTCAGGACCAGGAGACTCCACAAGGCAAAGCCAAGAAGCACCGTTCCCGGAGCTTCCTCAAGCACCTTGAGTCTCTGAGGCGGAAGGAAAAGGGTGGCAGCCGGCAAGCAGAGCCAGAGCGTAGTTCAGCCACCTCGGAGAAGGCCACCAAAGCCGCCTCTTTCCGAAGTCGCCGTGGCTTCCTCTACAGGGCCAAGAACCGGGCGGCCACCTCAGCCAGTGGCAGTGGCACTGAGACCCAGAGGGCCTGGGAGGCCTGGCCTGTGGCCACATTCCAGCGTCCTCAGCGGGCACACTGGGGTGACTGCCTGGTGCACGTGCCCAGGGACCACAAACCAGGCACATTCCCTCGCTCCCTGTCCATTGAGAGCCTGTGCCCTGAGGATGGACACCACCTGGCAGATCGGCAGCCAGGTAGCTGCTGGGGCTATGAAGGGCGCCGGGGCTCCTGTGGCTCCACGGGCAGCCACGCCAGCACCTATGACAACATGCCTGAGCTGTACCCAGCTGAGCCTGTCCTGGCTGGTGCCGAGGCTGAAGAGGAGGAGGAGGGTGGGGACAGCCATACTCACCTGGATGACATCCTCCAGCACGTGTGGGGGCTGCAGCAGCGGGTGGAGCTCTGGTCTCAGGCCATGTACCCAGACCTGGGGCCTGGAGATAAGGAAGAGGAAGAAGAGGAGGAAGCCGCTTCATCAGTAGAAATAGCCACCAGTGGAGTGGAAGGCCAGACCGATGAGGCTCGGGCCCAGGGAGAGGCTCCAGCCCTCAGGGAGTCCTCAGCCCCGGGCCAGGCGGATGTCCAGCCAGGAGTCCCGGCTCAGGCTCAGGCCCCAGCTGAGGCTGAACTTCTGGCACTGGCAGAGGCCGGGGCCCCCGGCTTGGCTCAGGATCATGAGCAGGAGGCAAATTCAGGCGGGGAGCCCACCTCTGCCTCCAGTCTGTCTGTGGAAGGACACTCCATTTCTGACACTGTGGCCTCCTCCAGTGAGCTGGACAGTAGCGGGAACTCCACAAACGAGACTGAGGCCACAGGGTCCCTGGCTGGACTCCAGGCATCAGCACCCCGTGAACGACGAGATTCAGGTGTTGGGGCCTCACTTACCAGACCCTACAGGTGGGAGTTCAGGGTAGGGTTGGGGCAGGGCTTCTGTTGTCCCTCTCTCTCTCTTTCCCCCATCTCCCTGTCCCTCTCCCTCCCTTCATCTCTTCCCCTACCCCGTTTCTCTCTTCCCTTCCTCTTTCCCTCCTCACTCCCCCAAGCCAATTGCTTCATCACAAGGCGCAGGGGCAAGTTCTTAGGGGCTGAGTGATTGCCCCTGGGAATCCAGTCCCAGAAGAGAAATAGAAAGAGTAATGGGATCAGGAATCTGGAATGTGAGGCTCAGGACCCGCCTCTGCCATGGCCTTGCGCAAACTGCGGCTCCTTTTGGGCCTCAGTTGCCCCGTGTGTAAATCAAGGGCATCACAGGAGATGGTCTCTGATCCCCAGCTTCACTACTCTGGGTTTCTCAGGGCAGCCCCTCCACTGCAGTCTTGAAAGGAAGGGGGACTGATACTGTTTGCTGGCACTAGATGGGCCTGAGCTCGGTGCCACCCTTTCTGACAGCATCTGGCCGCTGTGCAGCCCTGGAAACCAAGACTAAGCTTTCTCCACCCTGGGGCCCAGCGTCATTGCTGACAGTGGTCCCTTCTCCTTGTATATTTTTTCTTTTGGGGAAAAATAAAAAGAGCAGAAGAACACAATTTTACTAAGGTTTACTGAAACCTGCTCCTCTGGCCTTCTCTACCCCCTCACCCCTCACCAGGAAGCTCCGCTGGCACAGCTTCCAGAACTCCCACCGGCCCAGCCTCAGCTCAGAGTCGCTGGAGATCAACCGGCAGTTTGCCAGCCAGATCCACCTCTTGCACAAGGGCTCACTGCTGCGGCTCACCGCCTTCATGGAGAAGTACACTGTCCCCCACAAACAGGGCTGGGTCTGGTGAGTCCTGGGCCATGGTGGGCACCAAGCTGCTCATCCAAGTCCTGGATCCCTCTCTGCCCCCACTCCAGGGCCCTGGGAGGGTCACCCTCAGAAGGTGGGTGCAGGCAGGTGGAGCCCCTAGGCCAATGGAGTGGTGGGATGCGCCAGGAGGCTGGAGAGGTCAGTGTGGCTCTGGGTGGCAAATGTATGTCTGTGGGGGATGCACATGGGATTCACATGAGTGTGTGCCATGAATGAGGAGGGCTGGGGTGGGGATTGGGATCCCAGGCCCCCCAGCTATACCTCCTCCGTCCCAATTTCCATGCTGCCACCAGGGAGATTGTCCTAATATGCATCTTTGGTGGTCACTCTCCTGACAGATACCCTCCTGTGGCTCCCCATTGCCAAAGAATACGGTCCAGTTTCCTTCCCATCATGATCCTTTCACGTTCCAACCCCGCCTCATCTGTCAGGCTCTTTAGTCCGCCATACCCAAGCCACACCACCATACAGGCCAGCAGACTAGTCACCCTTATCTGAATGCACCGTGCTCTTGTTCCTGCCTCTTTGCCTTTGCCCATGCTGTTCTCTCTGCCTGGAATGTCTTTTTCCCATTTATCCTCTGGGACAAGGCCTACCCATCCCTTAAGAGCCAGCTGAATTTCCACCTTCTCTCTGAAGCCTTCCCTGACCCCCTAGGTACATACAATTCCCCTCCCTCGTGGGTCTTCCCCTAAGTTCTTGGCATACTCCTGGCCACGTGTATTGTCACTGCCTGTCAGTGCGGTCATCTCCTTGACCAGACTGAGAGCTCCCTGTGTTCCTCTGGGACTCCCTAGGACTGGGCCCAGAGCAGGTGCTCAATGAATGTTGCCTCTGGGGAGATGGCATGTTTCTTACCCTGCTCACCCACACCTGAGTCCCCCAAGACTGCAGACAGAGTCTCCAAGCTGTGTCTGGGCCTACCCCATCCTTGTTCCTGATCTTTTGTCCCTCCCCCAAACAGGTCAGTGCCCAAGTTCATGAAGAGGAACAAGACACCGGACTACCGGGGTCAGCATGTGTTTGGGGTGCCGCCCCTCATCCATGTGCAGCGCACGGGCCAGCCACTACCCCAGAGCATTCAGCAAGCCATGCGCTACCTGCGTAGCCAGTGCCTGGACCAGGTGAGGCCTTCTGGGGAGCACGAAGAGAGGTGGTGATGGGAAGGAAGTCCAAGGCTGAGGGATTAGGGAGGGGAGCTGCTCTGGCCTTCCCCCTGGGTTGGGCTGGCCCACCAGAAGCTTTTCCTATCCTCAGGAAGGCCCAACAAGGATGGACCCAAAGCTCCCTTCTGCCCGGCTCTGTGCCAGCTTTTTTCTGGCCCAGGCGCATTAGCCCCCACCTTCCAGGAGCCCGCCTTAGCCTAGGTCCTTGTTTTCCTACTCATCTCCACTAAAGCCATCTTTCTCCTTGGCCCCAAGGCTCTTTGGTTTTGCCATTTCTCTCCTACCCTGCCCAGCAGGAAGCTTGCCAGGCTTGGATGTCTCTGGGGTGGCCTACACTCCTAACACACACGGTCTAGGGCTGGCCTCACAGTCTCCCTCCCACCCCTGCATGTCTCCCTCTCTCCCTCCCCTGCATGGGCCAGGTGGGCATCTTCCGCAAATCCGGGGTGAAGTCCAGGATCCAGAACCTGCGTCAAATGAACGAGACCTCCCCCGACAACGTCTGCTACGAGGGCCAGTCTGCCTATGATGTGGCTGACCTGCTGAAGCAGTATTTCCGGGACCTGCCTGAGCCAATCTTCACCAGCAAGCTCACTACCACTTTCCTACAGATCTACCAGCGTGAGTCGCCTGCACCTATCCTCAGTAACCTGCCAGGTTCTCGGCCTCCCTGAATCCTAGGGCTTGTGGAGGATAAACCTTGTGCAGGCAAGTGTAGCTGCGCCAATGAGCTCAGTGGAAGATTTACTATGCCGCGTTGGAAAGGTCCTTAGAGACCACATTCTATTCCCCAAACCCATTATATGGACTGAGGCCCTGAGGAATGGCAGGGACTTCCCCAAGCTCATGCTTCGCATTATAGCCGGGCTTGATCTAGCACCCAGAGACCTCCCAGAGTCCACCTTCCCCCTCACCAACTTCCCCTTGGGACCACTGTGCCTTCTGCATTCCTGGAAGCAGGAAGCTTGCTGCCAGAGGCTCTTGGGGAATAAGGAAGCCCTTCTGTCTGCCTTCCTCACAGTCCTCCCCAAGGATCAATGGTTGGCAGCCGCGCAAGCCGCCACCTTGCTGCTCCCCGATGAGAACCGAGAGGTGCTACAGACCCTGCTCTATTTCCTGAGCGACATTGCCTCAGCTGAGGAAAACCAGATGACAGCTGGTAACCTGGCTGTGTGCCTGGCACCTTCCATCTTCCACCTCAACGTCTCCAAGAAGGATAACCCCTCCCCCAGGTGAGACAGGGCAAGGCATGGCAGGGCCAAGCAGGAAGGGTTTGGGCCCCATTGGCTTTTTGGCCCTGGGTGCTTGGCACTGCAGTTCCCAGGCATCACCACAAGGGGCCAGCCTGACTCCTCAGGGGCCCTGGGCTGGTTGGATGGTGTGAAGCAGGGTCTTCAAAAGGGCAGCAGGTTGTTTTGTGTTCAGGACTGGCAAACAGGCTTCTGGGGAGCTTGGCTTGTGCCCTCGTGCCATCCTCTCTTCCTGGCCCTTCCCTCCAGGATCAAGAGCAAACGTAGCCTGGTTGGCCGGCCAGGCCCTAAGGACTTGAGTGAGAACATGGCTGCCACCCAGGGCCTATCACACATGATCAGTGACTGCAAGAAACTTTTCCAGGTGAGTCACTCTAGGCCATGGTGCCTACTTCTCAGACCCGGCAGAACCAACATGCCTGACCTTTGCACCCTAAGTCAGGGATAGGGCGCATCTTGACACATAATGCTTCAATGTCCTACTTTCAGCTCTTCCCCTACAAAGTTTTTCATCTACCACACCGCAGTAGCCAGGTCTCTCCGCTCCCTTAAAATGAACCTGGCACACCCCGTGGGCTCTGGGACTGGGCGTCCCTGACTCTGCTGCTTCCCATGGCCCCCAGCCTGGTGTGTGTGTGCTCTCCCAGGTGCCCCAGGACATGGTGCTACAACTGTGTGGCTCCTACAGTGCAGCTGAGCTCAGCCCTCCGGGCCCAGCCCTGGCTGAGCTGCGGCAGGCCCGAGCTTCTGGCATGAGCCTGTGCCTCTACATGGAAGAGAGCATCCAGGAGCTGCTGCGCGATGCCGCTGAGCGCTTCAAGGGCTGGATGAGTGTGCCAGGGCCCCAGAACACGGAGCTGGCTTGCAAGAAGGTGAGGACCACACTGCCCAGGGTGACCATGGGGCCGGGAGAGGGCAGAGTGCAGGCTGTGTGCAGGGATCCTCAGGGAAGGAGCTGCCCCCGCCTGTCTCGCTGTGCTTCCGCCTGATACTTGGAGAATGTCAGCCAGCAGAGCGAGGACCTTAAGGAAGTGAGAAGCAAATGAGACCAGGGCTCGCTCTCTCAGGGAGCACCTGCCGGAATTATCTTCCCGAAAGCCCACTCCAGACATGTCACTACTTTTAGAGCCTCACCTGCCATCCCTACCTGCACTGCAGTCACGCTGAGCTCCTCACGTTTCCACCTTTGTGCTTCCACCCCTGCTGTCCTCCTGCCTGGACCTGCCCCAAGCATTATATTTCCGCAGCCATTTTCAGCCCCAGCTTGATACGCCCCTCCTCCATTCAGAGCCTCCAGTCATACCCCAGGCTGGAGGTGACTTCTCTCTGTCCTTCTCTTGGCACTAGCCATGTTCTTTCTCGGATTCTGATTATAAGTAACACTGCAAGCCCAAGGTTTGCCATGGATAAACCGGTCATAGTAAAAGCTTCTTTACAGGGTCAGGGTGAGAAGCTTGCACAGGGCCTGGCACATGCAAAAGGCTCAGGAAGTGGCGGCTTTTGTTGCCATGCACGTGTTCCGCTTCCCACACTAGACGGGGAGTTCCTTGAGGATGACCACCATATTCAGTTCCAGAAATTCCAAGCACTGTGCCCATTGCTTGGTAGAGCCTAGTAGGCCTCAGAGAATGTGTGTCCTGTCATCTCTTTGTGCCCTTGAGCAGGCGGAGGAGCAGAAATTTGGAAAGGAGAAAGAGGACAGGGAGCGCAGGGCTGGCCTGTCTGGATCTGGCTGGGGTTAGCGGAGTAGTCCTGCCTCCTTCCCTTGTTGGGGGCTGGAGTGAGGGCAGGCCGGGGCCCAGGGGTGGATTGGGAGTTCTCCAGCCCTGACAGCTTCCCCCGTCCCCACTCCTGTGGCTCGCAGGCACCAGACGGGCACCCGCTGTGTGTGTGGAAGGCATCCACAGAAGTGGCTGCCCCTCCGGCCGTGGTGCTACACCGTGTCCTGCGGGAGAGGGCCCTCTGGGATGAGGACCTTCTGCGGGCCCAGGTGTTGGAAGCCCTGATGCCGGGTGTGGAGCTGTACCACTACGTCACCGACAGCATGGCGCCCCATCCCTGCCGCGACTTTGTGGTGCTCCGGTGAGGGGCTTGAGCTGTCACCCTGCTGTACTTGGGGGACTGAGGAGGTGGGGTGGGAACCGGCGCTAGGAAGCTGAATGTGTGTGTCCCTTCCCCACAGGATGTGGCGCTCTGACCTGCCCCGTGGGGGTTGCCTCCTCGTCTCTCAGTCCCTGGATCCTGAGCAACCCGTGCCGGAGTCGGGGGTGCGGGCCCTGATGCTCACTTCCCAGTACCTCATGGAACCTTGCGGCCTGGGCCGCTCCCGGCTCACTCACATCTGCCGCGCTGACCTCAGGTACCAGGCCACCTCAGCCCCGCGCCCCCCCCCCACCTCTACCCCATGCCCCTGATCCTGGGGGGCAAGTCCTGTCTTCCTTGTCCCTGGCAGGGGCTCCAGGGAAGTACCCACGGCTCATGGCTTCCTGCTTCTACTTCCCCAGGGGCCGTTCTCCTGACTGGTACAACAAAGTCTTCGGGCACCTGTGTGCCATGGAGGTGGCAAAGATCCGGGATTCCTTCCCGACCCTGCAGGCAGCTGGCCCTGAGACAAAGTTGTGAGCCTTGGCCTGGTCCCAGATTGGCACCACTCAGGCCCCCTGGCACCACCTCAGTGAGGGGGAATGAGAGCAGAGCCGCCCTCGGATGGTTGCTGCTTCCAAGGGTAGAGGCAAGGCCATGCGGTCGCCCTTACTTCCTGAAGCTCCTCCATATGTACAGGGAAGGAAGAGAGAATTTCAGTGTCCTGTCTCCACTCCATCTCCACCCCCAAACCTGTGTTCTGCCCTCCCGAGAGAGAGGAGTCACTTTTGGAGCAGGAAGACGGCTACTGCCCTTCAAGTCCAAGGAGCCACCGGTCAGTCTGAAGCCTTCCCAGCTCCTCCGCCTGCGGGGTGAGGAGGCAGAGAGTAGTGTGTGCTCCTAGCACTCTGCCATTCTGAGAGGCCAAGCCATCCTGTTTGGTGCTAGGGTCCCTTTGAGTTTGGACAGGAGGTTCTGGTAGTGCCTTGGGGCCCAACATTGGTCCTAAACTGGTTTTTGCAGAGAATTTGGACCGGAGCGGATAGGCACAGGGGCAGAGCACAGAGCAGCCCCAGCCACCATGAGCTGTTTGATTTGTGTAAATATGATGCTGATTTTTATGAGGGTGATTTAAAGAGGAGGCACTGATGGGTCCCAGTAGGTGACATGACGATTTGGGGTAGCTTGGGATGTGAGAGTGGGGGGAACCTTCCTTTCTCAGATCTCAAGAGACCAATGAACCAATCTCCCCTGACTCGGGCCCCATACTTTATCTGCCACTCCCTGGGGTCCTGTGTAGCCGTTGGCCACGCACTGCCATGTCTAGAGGGTAAACAGCCTCGCTCCCACCACACGGGCTGAGCAAAAGCAGATGGTGGTGAGGAGACACTATCGATGTCCGCGTCGCTTTTCCTGCTTTTCCTGCCTGCGTTAGCAGGCTGATATGACAGTCCCTTCCTCCAGCAGAGACCTGGCCCCTGGTTCAAGCAGCCAGCTAGTCAGATGGAGGGGCATAATGTCAGCTCAGCCTGCTGGGGCTTGATCCAAACCTGACCTATCCCACCCACCAGCCATCTTGGTTCACGTGCAAAGTCAAATGCCAAACGCCAGCTGGTGCTTTATTATCGTTTTTGGCTGAATAAACTGGAGTGGGATGGGTTCCAGCCAGTCAGTTGTAATGTTTAAACCTATCTATCTATTTTATTTGTATCTGTAAATACTGTACAGTCAGAATATAAAAAATGTATTTGTGTATATATATAGATACATATATACACACACACACATCTATACACACACACACACACACACACACACACACACACACACACGTATTCTATCATTAGTGTACCATAATCTGTTGGGTGGGGGCAGGGGTCTGGAAAGCCTCGGCGGGAAGGGCACTTAAGATGAGACAGGGGAGGTGGAGAGCATGGTCCATGTGACCACCCCTAGTGGAACAATAAAGCATTCCTACAGAGGCACTCTGTCTGTGTGGTTGTCTTTGCTGAGACGATGGGCCAGGGACAAGAGGCAAATTACGATGCAGTTTCGGTGTTAGGGTCAGAGGTTGTGCGTGTTACCAACGTAGGACTTGAGGGAGGCCGCAGGAGAAATGGGGAAGGGCCTCAGCCTTTCTCTTCGGGAGATGATTGGGGCTGGGAGAGGCAGGATTCTGAGAAGCCAGGGCTTGGGCAGAAGCCGCAAACCCTATTCCCTGACCTGACCAGGTCCCCTATCTGAGCAGCCCCCAACATGACCTCATGCATCCTGACGATAGCCCTATGGAGGGATGCCTTTGCTATGCTGTCCTTTCTTCCCCTGCTGCACATGGCTCAAGCTGAAGGATGAAGAATGGAGACCCAGGCTCAAGAGGCTTGGGGACCCTGTTCTACCCATAAGCCAGCCTGATACAGGTCTCAGTGCCTCAAGGCAGCCCCTGGCCTGGCTCCAGTGGCCGGCAAAGAGAGGCCCCTCATATAGACTTCCTGCTTTCTTTGCCACATTGCTATAGCCATAAAATCCCCAAGCTCCGAGGGGCAGCTAGAGAGAGAGTACAGGCTTTGCAATCAATCTGTTTGCATCGTTTGAGTGCTGTTGAGTAGCCCGGGGTAAACAAGTCCTGTTCTTTCTCTTTCTCTGAACCTCAGCTTCCTCTTGGGCCAAACAGTCCAGTGATGACCTCATCACAAGTCTGGCTCAGTAAGTGTTCAGCACTTACACTCGGTGTCTGTCAAGTCCCATTTCTCTGTCACTTTCTTCCAGTCTCTTCTTCTGGGTTCAGCTGTACCTACATGCCTTTGGCCTTTCCTCACTGCTGCTGCCTGGGGGTCTTGGCTAAACCTGGAGGGGAGTGAGGTGGAGCAGAGAAGCTGTCAGCCCCTTGACTTTGGGAAAACAATGAAGGCACCCCGTGTGTGATGTAGGATGGGAGATCACTCAAGCAGCTCTAGTGTTAGGGGACACCGGCGTGAAGCTCGAGCCAGTACTTTTCAAGGCAGGCAGCCAGGGGAACTTTTGGCACAGGTACTGCCCCACCTGGTCATGGAAGAAGGCCGTGGTGATGGTACAGAGGATACGGTTGAGCATGCTGTTCATGGGTGGCATGAAAATGCCAGGAGACAGAAAAGAGTTATGGAGGAGGTTCTTGGAAGGGCCAGAGAATTTCCCGTGTTTCAGCTCTGGACTCCGAGGCCCTGGACCAGTTGCCCAGCGTGGCTCCTCTATGTTTGGCACTTCAGGAGAGGTAGTACCAAGCAGGGGAGCTGCTCTGGGCCTTTATGCAGTGTTACCCCCCTGCATAAAGCAGAAGCTTCCATTCCTCCATCCTGGCATCTCTGCCTGGCCCACCATGCAGTCTGTGAATGGACTGCCATGGCTTATAGACATCGGAGTGGGTATCACGATGATGAGGCCGCCCAGGCCACTCACTCCCACACATGGCAGGCACCACCCATGGCCATTTCTAACCCTCAGTCTTGTACCTTGATCCACCTTGAGTTGGCCTTTCCCTGGTGCCAGAGAATTCTCACCCTCAAATTCCCAACCCCATTGCCTGTACGTTCTACTCTTATGCTTCCCCCGACCCAGTGAAACCAGGCTGTGGGTGAATCCCACATGGGAACTGAACAATCTGTCCACGAGCATCAATCTGTTATTTTCCAGTCTCCAGAGCCCTGTTGCCAGAGTGGCTGAGGGTAGATGGTAGACAAACCCAGGCTCAGAACTAGCTATATCATCACCTGGCTCTGTGACCTTAAGTGGCACATGTAACATTTCTGATTTGGTTTTCCTCGAGGGTGTCATCAGGGTTAAATGAGCCAGCGATTGTGAATATGGCTACACAGTGCCTAGGACATGGCGGACATGAATAAATGGTAGTCTCCCCTGCCCTGCCGCCTCCCTGCCAGACTCCGTGGAAGGCTTGGCCTTAGGTGGGTGGGAGTGGGGTGCACATGCATATCATTTCCTGATTCGCATCAAGGCCCTACCTACCCTTTTGGCTGCCAGACCACCACAACTTCGGCTTTCACCATTTTGGACACAGCTACCCCTTCACCAGGCTCTAAATATCCTAGTGACCTCTTTACATCCTAACTACTGATTGGTTTTCACTCTACCTCCTCCTTGAGAATTTGGCCCCATGGCCTTAGCTTTAGTCTTGAAGCCTTCCTTCCTTATCCTGTCCTCTCTGCCTCATCTTGCTCATTAGGGACCTCGCTGACATCCATTGTTTCACTTTACACCTCTGTGCGGATGCCGTCCCCCGCCCCATCACTACCAAGATGCCCATCACTTCCTTTGGCTCTGGCCAGTATTTATCACTGCGTGAATGGACCTTTGCACCTGAAGGCCCCACCTGCATATCAAAATTAACAGGCCCAAGGCAAACTCACCGTCTTCCCACACACAGTCTTCTCCCTGCTGCCTGCTCTGTCTCAGTTCATGGTACATGTTATCTTCCTGGCTGCACAGCTCAGATCCCCAAATCAGCCATGATCCCACCTTCCTTCTCAACCAATGCATCCATCCATCCATCCATTCAAATTCTCACCCATTCTGCTTTTCAACAAGTAGTTGTGGAACGTCTGTTTGATGCCAGACTCTGCTGAGGCACAGAGAATACATCAGTGAACAAGACTCATAAGATTCTCACCTGCCTTTAGTGCACATTCTAGTAGATGGGTGAGTGGAGGGAGGTGGATGATAAACACACAAGCTAACTTCAGCTATCATAAGGGTGATGAAGGCAATAAAGCAGGCTGAGGTAGTAGTGACTGAGCACTTGCTCCAATAGGGTGGTCACAGATGGCCTTTCTAAGCAGGTTACATGGAAGCCAAGACCTGGGGAAAATGAATGGGCTATGCAAAGATCTAAGGTAAAGAGTTCTGGGCAGAAGAAATACTGAGCAAGTATAATGACCTTAAGGTGGAGACAAAGTTGGCATTCCCAGGTCAGAGTGGCTAGGGTGCAGGGAGCAGGGGAGAGTGGGAGAAGATGGGGTCAGAGAGGTAGGGCCAGGTCACGTGGGCCTAATGGGGAAGTAACCACGTCTTGCTGAGTCTCCTTGCACGGTGTCCCCACTTCCAGCCCCTGACCCAATGTCTGCAGGAGCCCAGTTCACATTGCATTCCTTTCCACCTGGATATTCGGGAGAGGCCCTCATCTCTTGTCTCTCCTCTCCCACCCTTTTCCACCTATACCCAGTACCAGGTCAATCTTTCTAAAGTCGAGTGTCACCCTGTCTTTCTGACTCAAAAACTGTCAATGCCTCCACTTCCCCTCCCCCCACAATGCAGCCTTGACCTGTCCACCAAGTTTCTTCCCCCTTACCCTCTGTTCTCCAGCTGTGTTCCAGGCACGCTCCCTTAGTTCCCTTTGCCAGGAGTGGAAGTAGGACTGTCTTGGACTCAGAGGACCCAGGTTCAAGTCTCAGCTCTGGCAGTGGTTAGCTGTGGGGCTGTGGGCAAATTATTTAAACTTTCAGGGCCCCAGTTTCCCCATACATAACTAAAATGAGGTTCAGAGAGATGTGTGAATTACTTAGCAAGGTAGGTTGATTATTGCAAAGTGCTATCACCGTCCAACCTCACCAGTCTGGCAATAATACTCAATTCCAATATGTCTCCACCATGAAGTCATTCCCAAAACTTCCAGCAAGGTTTGTTCTATCCCTCCTCTGACTTGTCATTGCCCTTTGCATCTAAGACCTCCATCTTACTGATGCCTCCTCTTCGGGTTTTTTGGGCACCAGTCACATTGCCAGTATCCCCAGTAGTCTGGGAGCACCTGGGATCAGGATCCTGGTGGGGTTCACCACTGAGTCCTTCATAGTGCCCAGCTCGAGGAGGCAGGGAGGCCCAGGGAAGGCATCTGG